TAGTTTTTTATAGGAATAGAAAGCCTCATCTTTCTCCCGAGGAGCGGCTGGTGGTTTCGAACTGCTGACCTTGCAGTTGGCAGCTATGCCACCAGCGCTCCTTAGGAAAAGGCTCGGGGCCCTCTCAATGACTTAGCAGTTGCTGTGCAGCGAGTGAAGGCAATCGCCGTGAAGAATTGGCGGTGAGTAGGGCTGGTTCATTCACTTCAAAGTGAGGGGAAATTTACCGAAATTGAAACAAGGCTTCAAAGACAGCAGCTGACCGCACTGCTTTGAATGTTTGTGGCTCACCCTGGTCCTACCAATAATCTAATCTCACATGCCAAGCTCCCAGAAGGGCTCACTCTGCCTCTTCCGCGTCTCCCATTCCAGGGTCCCAACCCATCCAATTCCCCTTGCTGGTAGCCAGGACCATCACCCAAATGATAAAAATGGGGCTGTTTCGGTTTTCCTTCATTGGCACGGACAGAGCCAATCAAAGCTCTGTGCTCAAGAGCAAGTAGGAGGTGTGGAAGTCAGATGCCCTTGGCCCAGGGACTGCTGTACAGCCGCGTATGCAGGAGTAGCATGGGGGTGTCCCAGGGCAAACTCTGGTTTAGCTTTTGCGGCTGTGCCAAAGCCATTCGGCCGATGGACAATGCCAATAGTCGGCGAAAGTTCCAGTCACTGGGAGGTCTCACCAGTGAGAACACTGTATCAATAGGATGGATGGAAAATGGAGAGCGGCCAGAAGGGAAGCAGGCAGACCAGTGAGCAAAGGGTCAAAGCCTTGCAGGCAGGCGGGAGGGAGGCTTGGAGCAGGGACTGCAGGGCGGTGGGCAGTGATGGGGGTTTGCTTTACCAGCGGATGCAGGATAGAAAGGGGCGGGGTCAAGGACGACTTTAAAGGCTGGGTCTGAACAAGGTGACAGTGAAGATTCCATTTCTGACATGGGAAACGTTGCAGCTAAGGTTTGGGGAGGCAGGGTGTGTGTGTGGGGTGGGGCGGGGTTCAATTCAGGCCGTGCTAAGTTTGAGAAGCCCAGCAGTCAGCAGGTGATGGTGAATAAGCCGTGGACCTGCGAATCGGCCATGCAGTGAATTATTTAATGTGACTCTCCCAGCCTGCGTTACGCCCACCAAATGCTCTTCCTTCTCCTGATGGAGCGGGAAGGAAGTGGAGGGAGATTGTTGATGGGATTACACGACTCTGCTGTGAGTGACTGGGACCAGGGTTCATTGGGATTGCCAGCCCACTGGGTCTGCAAGGAGCCACCTCAGAAGCAGGAAGCGGGGATCCCACTAGGGGCGAGAGAGTGTGCCCTTTGGACCTCTAGATTTCTGAGTGTGGAACCTCCTTGATCCAGGGGGCAGCTGTGACCCCACAGGAGTAACCGCAGCAGCAGCAGCAGCAGCAGCAGAACCAGGAGCCAGAGCACGCGGCAGAGCGGTGGGCTTCCAAGCCCTCAGAGCAAGGAAAGCTGAGTGCTTTGGGGGAGGGGGCTGGCCTGTGCGGTGAGGTGCCTCTGAGCTCTTGATTAGTGGGGCCAGGTCTGCTGACCGTCGGACCTGGAACAGAGTACCTTCGAGTGTGGCTGCCATCAGAATGGTGTACTCTTTGGGCATTTACTGGCAGCCCTAACAGAACTTTGTAACATTGCCTAAGCCGGGCAGAGCCCAGATTGAGAGGCTGACGGCCAGAGCGGCCTGCCTGTGGACAGAACAGAGAAGAAACTGCCCTGACTGAACAAGTGTATCCTGACCATTTGCCACCTGAATTGTAACTTCTTCAATAAACCCGCGGTTGTGAGCACTGTTTGTGAGTTCTGTGTGGCCATTGCATCGAAAGATCGAACCCAGCCACAGAAGCGGAGTGCCGCAGGAAGGACAGTTGGTGTCAGAAGAGGGTTAAGAGGGATGGAGGGTGGAGGCATGTCTGCTCTCTGCCTGTGGCAATCAGACGTGGCCACCCCAGCCCTCTCCTGGGACGCTAACGGTCAGGGGAGGGCTGACAATGAACAAGCAGCCGTTAAGGCTAGGCGATTGGACTGAATCCAGGACCCCTCCAACATTTCAAGCACAAGAAGAAGATGAGGAAACCAGAGGTGGAGAAGGCATGGCCGGTGATGTCAGAAAGAAATAACCAGCAGGTGCATTTTGGAAGCCAAATGAGACGTTTGAGTGTGGTTGACATGTCCTGTCTGTCTTTGTGGTTTTGAACACCCTGGGCCATTCTGTGTTCTGTGTTCCACCTGGCTCGTACACACAAGGAGAGCAATGGCTTCTGCTTTGCCCTCTGTGGTAGTTACATAATCTGGTGTCAATTTGAGAGGATTAAGAGTGAAGGGGTGGAGTTTAGCCTGTCAATCAGGTCACAGCTTGATGACCTCATTTGGAAGCACTAAGGCGATAAATAGCTCGCTGGAGGCAGGATGCAGGCTGGTGAGCAGGCACATGGAGAGAGGCTGATGGAGCCACGTGGAGACCCCTGCCAGCGCTGAGATGCTTACAACACCACTGGATCCACCAGACTTCCCACCCACTGGCCTGTGATCTTCCTGCATTCAACATCATTGCATGTATTTTATGAGTCTGAAGAGGATTTATAGATTGGTATCGGACATATGGGTTAATTTTGGACTTATGGACTTGATCTGGGCTGGGATGTTTTCTTAATGTACAATTACTGTTGGCATAAAGCTCTTGCTTATACACAGATGAGTACGTCTATGAATTTGTTCCTCTAGTCTACCCGGACTCACACACCCTCCCACGAAAGGGTTTGCAGTGGAAGGAACCACACCTCTGCAGGCTTGAGATGCTCCTGTTGCCATGATGCTCCCAGGAGTCGATCTACCCGTCCCCTCTTGCAGGATGGCAGGCGTCCCGGTGGAGAAGAGATGTGGCTTTCTCTTTTTAGAGGAGAAAACAGACCCATCATTAGGAAAGTGGATCCCCAGGATGCTCAAGCTTTGAGCTCAAGAGAGTTCATCCACCACCGTAAGCCTCCCCGTGAAAGAGGTAGGAGAATGTCTAACCAATAAACATT